CAGGGCACCCGCGCACACACTGCCCGAATCGTCAGCAATCAACGGCACCACAGCGACAACTTCGACCTTCAAGCTCCCAAATGGCTTCAACACAAGCAAGTGCGACGACCACTATTCAAGCTTCAACGACTTCACCCGGACAACCTGCACAAGGAGCAAGAAATATAATCAACTGCATGACGAAGATAACCGATTCATGTACAACCGAATCACCACCACACTACTCACCGGAAGAAGAGCTTGACAACAGAACGCCTCGCCGTGAGCTACTCCAGCCGAATCCAACGTACGCCGCCATCGCTCAAAGTGAACCGTCCGGCCAAGACACCTGGTTCTTGGACAGTTGCTGCGGGCAACACATGTGCTCGTCCGGGCGTTTCGTACAACGCGAACATCGACTCCAACGGGAAGTGATCATCACGGTTGCCAACAACCAAAACCTGCGCACACGAAGACAAGGAGTGGTACAGCTTCAGTCAAGAGAAACAAATGTCATACTGCACATGTCTAAGGTACTCATCGCTGAAGGACTCGGCTACAACTTACTGAGCGATAGCCAGTTGATGGCGAAAGGAATTCATCTGGAAGCCGACAGCACGACCCAGGAGTTCAAACTTTACCACGGGAGAGGCGGTCTCTACATCGGGAAAGCAGTGCTGAAGAACAACGTCTTCGTCCTCGACTTCGTTCCTGACCTGGGCACTGCAGACAGCGACGCCATCGTGAATTTCACTGACTGGACACACCCTCCGGATCTCGACCCCGACTTCAGCCCAGGAGGCTTCTGGTACTCGCACACCATTCCTGAAGCAGAACAAACACGAGCATTAGCAACAATTCGACAATCAGCAGCAGTAACAACATCGGCAGCAGCAACAACATCAGCAGCAGTAACAACATCGGCAGCAGCAACAACATCAGCAGCAGTAACAACATCGGCAGCAGCAACAACATCAGCAGCAGCAGGAACAACGACACCAGTCATAGTCGACGAAGCACCACCAACACCCGCGAAACAGCTGAATCCGACTCAACGTGAAGTCCACCGAAGCGCCAACCTCGTCGCCAGCTTTTACTCCAACTCCGACGCATATCAGCGTTCACCTGGACACCGTGCCTCTGAAGAGATCTGGCATGCACGAACAGGACATCCAAGTAACACGGTTTTGAATAACACGATAAGAGCAGGAGTCCTTGACAAAGATTCTCTACTTCTACCCGATGGCAGAGAACTCCAGAAGGCACGAGGGACTTGCCTTATATGTCCCGAAGCTGACTTACCTCATCGACCGTTTGCTTCACATCACAACCCGAGCGCTCCAGCGTACGCACCACTCGAAAAAGTCTACAGCGACATCCTCTACAATCGCGAGCCAGGACAAGTCAACTACAACTACACCATCACCTTCATCGACGCCGCCACTCGATACGTCTGGCATCGCAACCTACCCAGCCGCGACATGGCGCTCGCAGCATTCGCCGCCTGGCTACCGATAGCAGAGAGAGAGTCTGGAACACAACTGAAAAAATTCCAGTCAGACGGAGGTGGCGAGTACACCTCTCACCGCTTCAAGCAGTTCTTGGCGGAAAGGGGGATCAAGCAACTCCTCTCCCTTCCTTACGCACATCAGCAGCAAGGTGTTGCAGAACGACTGAACAGGACCCTGCAGAACAGCATGCGCAAACTATTACGTGGCATGCGGCTACCCAACCACCAGTGGCCAGCAGCAATGGACCACGCTGTCATGCTACACAACTTGTTGTCGTCGTCGTCACTCCCGAACAACGCATCACCGCATCTGCTGTGGACAGGGAAGCAGGGCAGCACGAAAATGTTACGAGTTTTCGGGTGCATGGTACAGTACAGACCCCCAGAAGCACGAGCGGGAAGATTTTCGCAACGGGCACAGTGGGGACTACACCTCGGCACCGAGAAAAATTACAACGCATGGAAAATCTTCGACGTCCACACAAAGGAAACAGTAGCAGCACGTGACGTGATCTTCTACGAAAGACTCACCCTTCAGACGTACCTCGCCAACTTGCACGAGAATCGGGACCTCACCAGTGGTTTTCGTGGTGACCGAGCCTTCGCGTCAGCAGCGGACGAAGCAGACTGGGATGAACAGAACGTCGACAACGCCTCAGAAGAAGCCGGACCTCTCCCATACTGCTCCGTCGACGTGCCCATGGATGAGGATAATCCTCGCGACAGTAACAACGCCGAAATCTTCTGCCGTTTCGCCGACGATGGTTACGTAACACCTGTGACAATCAACACCAACGAAGCAGAAAGGGTAGGGCCAAATTTCATGTCCGACCCAGAAACGGGAGACGAAGCAGCTTATCCCGAGGATCCAGAACTCCCTCGATACTCACAGACTGGGCTGCAAATCCTCGGCCTCGTCACCGCAGTCCACGGGAACACACGCAGCTCGCTTCCTAAGGAGCCTGCAACGGTTCAGCAGGCTCTGGGGGGGGAACACAGGGAGAAATGGCGTGAAGCCATGGATAGAGAACTGAAGGCATTAGAGGAACGCAACACTTGGAAGGTTGTTCCCGTAAGCGTGGCACGGAACAAAACCATCCTTACCGGGAAATGGGTCTTCCGCATCAAGACGAAAGCAGACGGCACGATCGAAAAATTCAAAGCACGCTGGGTCGTACGTGGATTCGACCAAGAGCAAGGACGAGACTTCACCGAGACCTTTGCTCCAGTCAGCCGCCACACGTCACTCCGAATTCTCCTCGCCATTGCCGCCATGAAGAAGAAGAAGTTACGGCAGATCGACGTCGCGAATGCCTTCCTCTACGCACCTGTGGATGCAGAAATCTACGTCGAGCTCCCGCACGGTTCCCACGGCGAACCCAACCGAATCTGTCAACTACTTAAGTCGCTCTACGGGATCAAGCAGGCACCGCGACTGTGGCAGCAGTACCTGCACGCCCGTCTCATCCGCATCGGCTTTAGTCAACTACCTCACGACCAAGGCATGTACCGCCTCACTAAGGGAAGCGACTACGTTCTCCTGATCGTCTACGTGGACGATCTCCTCTACATTGGGTCAACCGACGGCATCGCCACGTGGTTCGAAGGAGAGCTCCAGAAAGACCTCACGCTCACGGTCTCCTCCACCGTTACACAGTACCTCGGGCTCAACATCCGCGAAGAAGAAAACGCCATCTATCTAAGCGCCGAGAAATACGCCGACACCATCGCGAAACGTTTCAGCCTCACACCAAGCGCCATCTCCACGCCCTACCGCTACACATCAGGAACCGAGAAGGAACGAACTACTCTACTCAAGCCCGCCGGCATACGCGACTATCAGAAGAAGCTCGGATGCCTGCTATTCGCCGCCGTCACCTGCCGTCCTGACTTATCCTACTCCGCAAGTCAGCTCGCCACCTATCTCAAGAAGCCTGAAGCTGAACACCTGGCGGAACTTGATCGCGCTCTCCACTACTTCGTCAGCACCGCGACGATCGGGCTAACCTACCACAAGAGCGCAGCTACACCGACTAAGCTAATCGGCTACGTCGACGCCGATCACGCCGGCGACACCGACAACAGGCGCTCACGCACCGGCTATGTCTACCGCCTTGAGCCTATCGGTCCTATCTCCTGGCAGTCGAGCAAGCAGGAGTTAATCGCACTATCTTCAGCAGAAGCAGAATATATTGCACTCTGCTCAGCCACCAAGGAGGGACTTTACCTTCGCGAACTACTGGAAGAAGCGAAGCTAGCCGAGTTACCCAGCTTCACCGTGTTCTGCGACAACCAGTCAGCAATTCGCATCGCCAACAAAAACGGCTTCGCAAACAGGACGAAACACATCGCCCTGCGCTATTTCTTCGTGAAGGACGAGATAGAAAAAGGGAAACTCGATCTGTCATACTGTCCAACATCCGAGATGGCAGCCGATTACTTGACCAAGAAACTCGGCAAGCAGAAGTTCGAATACTGCATGATGCTGACTGGACAAGGCCACGTCACCAGCAGTAACACTCCAGAAGCGAAGGGGAGTGTTGGAAACAATAAGTCCTAAGTGCGCTTCTGTCGTATCAAAATCCAAGGTACCAAGCGAAGCAGTCCCAATCGAAGCATCGAGTCAACCCCGGAGGTTAGGGTAACCGCCTGGAGGTTACGAGAAAGTCAAAGGTCGCTGACCTTTGACTCGACAATTACAGCGCGACAGTTAAGGACACACAACTGACTCGTTACAGAGCAGTTGCCCGAGTCGCGCTATATCGAACCGCAACAGCAATACAGTTATCTATTCCCTGTACTCTTATATAAATCCTTGTATTTGCTTGTTTAATTCAATCAACTTTGCTCTCACACACCAGTGCAAGGTCGGTTCAAATTCTTCACTAAACGCTTCCGCTATTACAACTACTTCACCTAGAGTTATCCCTTGCAAAGATCCTAAGGGGCTATCTCAGCCCAACAAAGTAGAAATCTAGCTAGCCATGTACTCTGACGGGTACATTCCCTTATTAACTGTATTGCATAGCTACAGTGACCGTGACTATTGCTATCCTCGACAGTTACCATGTTGCAGTGAATTAACTGTCGCGCGGTTACTGGATTGTCAAGGGTCACGACCGTTGACTTCCTTCGGGTGACCCTCGACATTCCGCATGCTCTATATGAGCTATTGCGGTACTGGTACAGTGGAACAGCTTCGGGAATGCTTTATATAACCTTTCAGTTATTCGAACATATTCAATCAGAATTTGCTTGAATTCAAAATGACGAAATTTCACATGTGTACGATATCAGTGTAGTTTGAAGTGGTAGGAAAAGGCATGTGTACGATTCAGTTTTATTCTTCAGTTATTTTCACTTCACAACTTTAATTACCGTTAGATCAGCAGTGCATATAAATCCAGATACCGGTACATTCATCCAAAACTTTGAAATCCAAGCATACCTACAAACTGTGAACCTCTACCGTTAATTTTTGTGAATCACCATGAATCATGCTGGAACAATGTCATCCTCTCTTGTTCTTCCCTTTGCTCTTCCCTTGAGACTTTGGTTGGCCCTTAGTGGCCCCTGATTTCTTCCCTGCAGTAACATTCCCATTGCCACTTCCTGGCGTTCCGGATTGGAGCGCCCTTTCTGCAGCGCTTCCAGTCACAGACTGCTCCACTGACGCCAAATTCTTGCTCGCATTGCCAGCCTCCCGATTACCCTCCTTTGATTTAGCAGGAGATCCTCCTTCACTGAGACCTTTACCAGCAATTTCTGCCTTGCCCCTGCTCGGGCTAAGCGCTACTCGAACAGATGTCTTGGGCGAACCGTTTCCGGCTGATGATGCAGCTTTGCCAGCCACTCGCATTCCCTCACCCATCTTTGCCCCCCCACCGCCCGTCCCCGCCGCCTTCTCTGCAGGAAGAACAGTGGGGTGATATGATACCGCCACACTGGGAATGCTGGTCTCGACTGCATGGCCGCTTTGAAGGCGAGGGCTGCTTGTCACTACGGCGCGGACGCTAGAACCGTTTTCAACTGGCTTTCCAGCCTCACACGGAGAAACTGATTCTAAAGAAACAGGTTCCACAGTAGGCGAGCGCGCAGGCTGCTGTTCGGATGAGAGATTCCAGCCCTCGCCACGCGGCTTCTCCGTGTGCTTCACGTGCTGCCCGTGAGGAAGCGGCCGAAGCAGATGCAAGGAGGCCGCCACGCGCTGCACCAGCTGCAGCAGCCAGCGGCGCTGAGCGGGGAAGAAGGCGAGGAAGAGAACAGCTGCAAGCACCAGCATGGGGGTCATAGCGAAACCCGTGATGGCCACTGCTGCCACTCCGATGAAGAGGATAGGAAGGGATGCCGCCAGAGCGATGGTAATCGCTGGCAGGAAGGGTAGCAGAGCCTGCGGGTGGAGAGATGACGAAGATCGTAAGGACATAACGCAAGGCAGATCGCGTCAGCGAATCAATATACACAAGCAAGCTAAACCTGAAGGAGATGTTTCGATGCTTAGGACAACAAATAGAAACGACTCTTCGCAAGATCCAGTGTGGTTTACCAGAAGCAGCAATTGCCAAGTCTTCATTCCAGCAACCCAAGGAGTCATCAGCCAATCACGCCATTCCTGCCACTTCTTATCATGACCCTGCAACCGGAGCAGCTGTGGCTGTCGCTGCTGACGGGAATCTGCGCTTTCCGAACTAGAAGTGCTCCCACTGCGAGCCATAGTGAGCGGAATGCTGTCAGGTTCTCGCGACCCCAGCTTTGGTGGAGACAGGGCCGGATCTGGGGATGCGATTGCTGCCATATCCATTACTCCCTCCCCTGTCAGCGAGGAAACAGATAGTGGCTCACCCCGCGAGTGCGCAGACACAGGAAGGAACAAGTCAGATCAAGCTACGACTACGTATCGGAAGTGGGACCTTCACCTGAATACGGCGTTGTTCCCCCAGATATTACAGAAAGCGGATCTTTTCAAAAAGGCACTCTCAAGGATATACGTCAACGACGCCAAATCTCCATCAACAGGAGGCAAACAGTAGGGACTGCCAGCAGCACCCCCACCTAGCCATTAGAGAAGAGCTCCTAGCTTGGAGACTGTCCCGAAGTGCCCAGTGACACATGCCGACGCACCGAGCTATCTGGTCTATAACACCTTCCCGCTGGAATAGAACCGTACTGGAATTCCTGGTCGGATGTCACCAATGTTTCCACTTCATCAGACACACCCTGGCAGTTGGATTGAAGCAACCAAGCCCAAGGCACGCACGGACCTGTCTCGTTCGGGCCAAATGGGAGCCTCGATAGCTACGCACTGTACCTCCCTAGGCTTTCGTCTGGCTTTGCAGCGGGGCCCGAATTCCGAACCCTCCCCAAAAAGGCCTCGAGGCTGTCGCTGATTCGACATTGCCACGGGACGATGCGACCACCGCCGCACCACTATGGCATGCCACTCAGCCCAGCCGTACCTCACTTGATCCGAACCAGCAAAACGAAATCACGAAGGCCTGCTTGGTTGGGAACTGACATGGCGGCGCGTTAGCAGCTGTGCTGGCAGACTGGGCAGAGATTTAGGACCGTTGATATGCAGATATTGCTGTATCTGCCGCTGGATGGACTCGCGTCTCCCAGAATCTCGGTATAGGCGCGCCATTTCTGACAGGATTCAGGGGCCACCACAAACCTGGTTGGGGCCCCAATCTCTTATCGAACAGCTGAACCTCCAATAGAAAGGTCGTGAAAGAAATTTTCTCGATATTCCTTAGCGCGCCCTGCAACATCGCGTACAGCAGCAGCCGTTGTTCGCTCGTTACTGCTAACGGGGCTTCGCCGACTTCGCGCGCACTATTTTCCCAAACCTCGCACTGCTGGACCGGCCGTATCGGCCTACGCTTCGGGACTAGCCCGAGCCTCGCTTCCAGCGTAGCACAAGCTAGCTCGCACACACCACGTTACCGTTTGCATGTTTCGCATATAAATGTTCGCTCATGCCTTCGCTCACATTTTGTACTTGTTTGACACCTTAGTGCAATTCTCGCTACTTCGATTCATTGCACCCGTAACACTTGGTATTCAGAGCCTCTTTCTTTTCGGACCGCGCATCTCCGCACCCCAGGAATTCAACTTTTGATTTTTCACTCGAAGAGACTCACGCACCTTAGCCCCTAGGAGTCGCTGTCCTCGCGTTCTCGCGTAAACGCGTGCAGTCACGACTGCGCCTAGACTAAGACGAGCCGACGTCCCTCATAATGGCTGAGCATATCGATGCCGCGACTCTCACGCAGGAGCACTCGAACAAACTGCAGCGGCAAATCCGCGAAAGCTCTGAAGAAATCGCGGTGCTGACGGCAGAACGCACGTCCCTGCAAAATGACCTCGCACGAGCACAATCCCAAGCACCTGGCACTCCGATTCAGCCCGCACCACAGACATCGCAACACGGAAGCGTGGGGCAACCCGCGAGCGCCGCAAGTGATGGCGTCGTCCGCCATGATGGAGACGACGACCACGGCACGACACACCCCGACGCGACGAATGCGGCCAAGAATCAACCTCGAGTCACCATTTCGGTGCCAGCCGGCGAATCAACCTTACCGTCGCCGATGCCGCTGAAGCCGCAGCGTCCGCCATGCTTTGACCCAAGTCAGCGGGGTGGTCCTACCGTTCAGGCGTGGCTCTTCACGTTGAACGTTTTCTTCGACGCGAACTACGTCTCGGAGGATACGGTGAAGATTCGATACGCCGTGTCGTTGCTGCGAGGACCCGTCATGGACTGGTGGCGTGTCATCGTCACGAAGCCGGTGGACTACGCGACTCTACCGACACGGGAAGGACAAACCGGACCCTGGGCGCCGTCGTATTTCGTGGAGGTGCCCCAGTATGGCACGTGGGACGCGTGGTGCGCAGGTCTGCGCGCTCGTTTCGAGCCAATTGCGAATTCGATCGCGGCGCGACAGAGGCTCCGCACTTGGCGCCAACTCGGTTCCATCCAAGACTACACGAGCGGGTTTCTGGCGCTATGCGAGCAAGTGGATTATATGCACGAGAGCGAACGCATCGCCCGCTACATCGGCGGCCTGAAGCAGGACATCGCTCAGGAAATCCGACTTCGCGGCGTCACCGACTTTCAGGAGATTCTCGCCATGGCGGAGAAACTCGATTTCTTCCGCCGACCGAGACCGGGGTCCTACGGAAGCAGCAATTAGGGACATCGTCCTCGTGGGACGAACGAGGGCGCTACGATACGTGCCGTCACCGCAAATGCCGCTGCCACACCGTTCAAAGGGCTCTGCTTTGCGTGCAACCGGCCGGGACACCGCAAGAGCGAATGCCCGGAAAACGCTAAGGGAAAGGGGGAAGCTGAGCAGGAGAAACAGACCAAGCAGCAGGGAAACGCTGGGAGCCAGTAGCAGACGGGCCCTCTACTAACAGGTCACGCCGCTCGCCCGACCCAACCGACCCTCACCGAGTGATTGTGCCGGTTCACGCAATCAACCACACTCGGCCGAATAAGGAGGGTACTACGGTAGACAGCCCTATACTGCTTAGTGGGAAAATCGGGACGGACTTAGTTAAAATCTTCGTAGACGGAGGGGCCAGCCACAACCTCATCAACACTGCCACAGCACGAAAACTGCGACTGCCATTGGCTAGATGCTTACCTGAGATCGACGCAAGACTGGTCGATGGCACGCCACTGGCGATACGAGAACGCGTGGACCGAGTTCGGATTCGATGCGGGGGTAACTTCACGTTTAGCCAGGAAATGCTCGTAACGACCCTCGACGGAACCGACATTTTATTCGGCCTTGATTGGCTGCGACGACACAATCCGCGAATCGACTGGACGACGAGTGACTGCAGTGTGCGAGTAAATGGCAACAACGTCGTGCTTACCTCGCAGGGGCTCGCCTGAGTCTTCGTCGGTGCGTGTCAACGCGATCACGATGAAACGCGCCGTAGCGGCAGGAGCTGACGTGTACGCGGTCGACATTCGGGAAGCCGAGGCAGCAGACAGAGAAGGGGATTTACAGAAAATGCTAGCCGGCGTACCGAGTGATCTGGCAGCACTGTTGAAGCAGTAGAGTCACATCTTCCCGGACGACGTACCGACGGAATTGCCACCTCAGCGACCGCACGACCACAGGATTGAACTAGAACTGGGGGCACAGTCGACGGTTAGCGACAGTTCCGATTGACTCAACCCGAACTGGACGAACTGAGGAAGCAGCTGGATTACCTGCTCAAGAAGGAGTTCATTCGCCCTAGTTCGTCGCCCTTCGCAGCACCGATACTGTTCACACTGAAAAAAGACGGGGGATTTCGCATGTGCATAGATTACAGAGCACTGAACAGGGTTACCATCAAATCCCGTTACCCCATCCCACGAGCCGATAAACTGATCGACCAACTGCGCACAGCCCGGGTTTTCTCGAAAATCGACCTTCGAGGAGGTTACCACCAGATTCGCGTCAACCCACCCGACTGCCCTAAGACAGCCTTCCGAACACGCTACGAATCCTTCGAATACACCGTCATGCCCTTCGGACTGACCAATGCCCCCGCCACTTTCCAAATGACCATGAACGAAGCTTTCCGCCCGCTCTTAGATAACTGCGTCATCGTGTACCTGGACGACATACTGATTTACAGCCCTGACAGAGCACAGCACGTACAAGACATCGAAGCAGTTTTTAAGATACTAAGTGAGAACCGCCTACTGACAAAAGCGTCTAAGTGTGAGTTTTTACAGGACCGACTCGAGTTTTTGGGACACATTATTTCAACCGCAGGAGTGGAAATAGACCCGAAAAAAATAGCGACGATTCAAGCATGGCACGCGTCGACCAACTTGACCGAGCTGCAGAGTTTTTTGGGGTTCGTCAACTACGTGTGCCGGTTCGTCCCCGACGTGGCGAAGCTGACTGTCCGTTGACCGACCTACTGAGGAAGGGGGTTGACTACACGTGGGGGGAGAAAGAGCAAGCTGCCTTCTCGGCCCTAAAATATATTTTATGCTCACCGCCCGTACCTCACATCCCAGATCTGCACCGACGCTAGTGACATCGCTGTGGGAGCAGTACTGTTGCATGACTTCGGGAACGGCCTCCAGCCAATCGCGTATGAGTCCCGCAAGCATCACCTGTCAAAGCAGTAGATTGAGCTCATACGCCATGGCTAGGGTTTTGGTAGTGGAAGGTAGCGTGGGAGAGGGGTGGCCAACAAAAGAGGTACTCACTATAGAGCAAACAGTACAAATAGGCAAGCAAAAGCAAGAATGGTGCACCACCAACTAGAATGGCTATAACTACAGTACCCAATCCTACAGGCTGTTACATATAGAAAATATAACATATATTTTCGGACACTCCCCCATAACTGCCTGTAGGATAGGAATATGCAGTAAACGCCCCATGAAGGGGTACACCAAGAGTGCGCAGCGGAAATTGCAGCAGCAAGCAAGTGCAGTCGCAACCAGTGCAGTGGTGGCAGATTCAGCTGCATCAACCCCTTTGCCAAGGCAGAATGTCGGAAACTTGGTCTTTTGTCTCTCTTCTTGCTTTGTCCTTCCCAGCTCAGTACCTT